ACTAGGGTCGGTTGGTGTGCCAGAGAGGCTTTATCGACCACTAAACCTGCAAAGCCTGAAAATTAGTGATTTGAAGATTTCTGTTAGAAGTATTTCTTGTGTGTTTTACCTGCTTCGGAATTCTCCTAAGCTGTATGAACTTGACATAGATGAGGTTGTGAAGGTAAGGCATACCGTGACTAATAAGGATGGTTTTTGTATATACTATTCCCTCCGTTCACTTTTACTTCCTGCGTTTTGACTTTTCACGCCCCTAAAAAAATAATAAATGAAGTGCATAATTTATCATAATACTCATATTAATTGATGTATATTTTATTGGATTTGAGGAAAGGATTTGAAATGAGTAATAAATTTTGTTGGTATAATAGGAAAAAATATTTGTCTCTTCTCTTAATATGTATAAAGTGACAAGTAAAAATGAAAATCTATTTTTTGTATACATGCTAAGTAAAAGTGAAGGGAGTATTTCCATTCTTTTTATGTGCACTATTTTCCAATTATTCACTTAGAAGGAGAATGAATACTTCCGATATTTATTTAGAATCAAAGAAACTTTACATCTTGACCTGAATGTCATGCTTTTATAGTCACAAAAGTTTCATGTGTAAAACCACCAGTTCCAACTTTTTTATGTTAATCTTTGTGTCTAGTTTAACTACGCCACATAAATTGAAACAAATGGATTAGTACTGTATAACTTTAGGGAATGTTGGTGGACTGGCTTGGTGCTAATTGTATGATCTTTTTCTTCAGGTTGATGAGACATTGAGTCAGTCAACGGAACTGTTATCTTACTTATCAAGGGAAGAAAACCATGTGAATGAAGCTCTGAGAATGATTCGTACAGTGAGGTTAAGGAAATTCAAAGGATCAACTACTGAAATGTACTTAATAAAAGTCCTCCTTACTCATTCTCCAAAACTTGAGATATTGATCATTCAACAGTGCGGAAAAACAAATGCCACAATTGCTGTAAAGTAATGTCGGTGTGTGCTAGCATAGGATATTATGATTGGATTAAAGTAGCGTATTAGCACTTTTTTTTTTTTTGATGAATGCAGTTGTGATATTTAAGAATATCGAATTTCAAATTTGTCACAACTTAATTGATGGGAATTGGGATCACATTTTGTTATTTCGTTTAATCAAGTCGACTGACTTGATCTGTTCTACAAATTTACTTATAATTATGTGTTTGAACTTTCAATTACTGACCAACATACCCTATGAATTCCGGGCTAATTTGGCCACTTGAGTGTTCACTAAAAAAAAGATTAGTCTTAATATGAAAAAGAATATAGAAGAGGGAGGAAATAAAAAATGCAGAATAGGTAAAGACCCCCTAAACTTGACACTTTTTAATGAGTGTACACCTTAACTATACGTGATTTTAATTACCTCCTTATGCTTACTTTTTCGGATTTTATTCCCCTAAGTTAGTAAACCTCTCTATCGTGTATACACGCGCCGTATACATGTAAATGCTTGCTGATGTGGCTATACACGTTGGAATAATTCGGGTATCCAATTAAAATACCCGACCCGCCTTGAAAATTAATCCCTCAAATTTAACCCATCCCTTTTACCATCGTTCATTTGGTCGATAACATAGAAAACCTAGGGTTCACCACTTCACTCCCATCATCAATGACAGAGACGATTGTGTGTTCTTGAGCTTGATTTTGTGAGTCGATAGGATTCTCCGTTGAGATGCTGCTAAAAGCTATTGTGGAGGAGCTAAAAGCTACTGGGTATCTTTGATTATCGCCAATATTTCTACCGTTTTCACTCTGAGTTTGAAGGTATGTGTGCCTCTTTTTGTTTGGGTAAAATCAGGGGTTTTATGTTGATTGTGACTTTTGCATGCATGCCGATTAGGGTAAAATTACGGCTTTTATGTTGTTTGTTAATTTGTTGGGGTCTTTACCGATTACTATTTATTTGTAATCTTCTGTATATAATTTTACAAACTTCTGTCTTGAGAGTTATTTTTTCCTTTTTCTAATTGCTGTGTAGGAACCCATGGATACTAAGTATGTGAATCTAAGATGGAAAATTGGTGGGATATTGGTGAGTGAGGTGGGACCTCTATATGTTGGGGGTAGGGTTGAACATGTGACTAATGTCGACTGTGACCACTTGTCAATACCAGAGTTAGTTGATTATGCTAAGGATTTTGGGATTACAAAGTTAGGAAAAACTTATATTATAAGTGCTAAAGGTGGCAGTTTGGTTGAATTAACAAAAGATAGGGATTTAATGGACCTTGCTATGTTATTAAACAATGGGACACAATAGACATTTTGTCTGTTCTGACTCACAATTTGAGGAGGTGGATGCTATAGAGGGTAGCCAAATAAGCCACGTGGGTGAGCCTTTTAATGCATCTTCTAGCACACAACAAGACAATAGGGAATCTTTTGTTCCCTGTGGTCCTCCTTTAAATACTACTGATGTAAATCCAGATCTAGTATTACCTACTCTTTTGAATACCACTCAAGAAGAGGATTCACCCATAGATTGGACTTCCTCTATAGACGAAGAAGAATCTGTTGTTGCTGTTGATTCTCAACAAGTAGAACCAGCTGGAGAAGAAGAAGAAATAGCATCTGGTAATGAATCTGAGAGGTCATTTGATTATGGAAATGATGTCCATGAAGAGTTGAGGGCTGTTAAAGAAGATCTAAAGAAATATATATAAAAGAATAGGAGAAAACTTAGGAAGGAAAAACCTTATGAATTTTTAGGTGAAGTTGGAGTTGATGAAGGTTATGAGAACATAGATCAGCCCAAAAAAAAATGAGAGACAAATTAGGAGGTGATGATGAGCCTTACTATGATAGTTCAGATCCAGATAATTTTGAATCTGAATCAGATCTGGAAGGGGAGGGTGATCATGTATCTGATGATGATGTAGATGATATGGGACAGTTAAGGGAAGGAAAAAAATAAATAGAGTGGTTTATGATCCTTCTGCCAAAATTCATACTTGAAAATTAGGGATGGTATTTGAGAATGTGAAGGAATTTAGAGAAGCAGTTACCAAGTATGCTATAAAGAAAGGTATTCAGCTAGTTAAGGATCCCAATGAGCCCCATAGAGTCAGAATTAATTGCAAAACTGGTTGTCCTTGGTTGTTGTATGCTAGCAGGGAAGGTAGGAGTACAAACTTCACAATCAAGACTTACAATCAAAGACACAAATTCCATAAAACCACTTACAACTATCTGTGTAATTTAAAATATGTGGCAAAACAGTTCAAAGATAGAATTACCTCACAGCCTAAAATTAAAGGTTGGTAAATTCAGGATATTGTGAGAAAAAGCTTGGTTTATATGTTGGTAAGGTTGTTTGTTTGAAGGCCAAAAAGATTGTGTTGAAAGAGATTATAGGGGATCATGTTGCTGAGTTTGGTAGGATTCTGGACTATAGGGATATGCTACTCAAAACAAATTCTGGTAGCACATGTGCAGTAAAATTGACAGACACAGATGATGGGAAGAAGCAGTTATGAAGCAGGGGTTTATGGAGGGTTGTAGGAGATGTATAGGGTTAGATGGATGTTTTTTAAAGGGTGTTTGTAAAGGGCAACTGTTGGCAACAGTAGCAAAGGATGGGAATAACCAAATGTTCCCAATAGCTTGGGCTGTTGTAGGCAATGGAAAAAAAAAAAGCAAACATGGAGTTGGTTCCTCAGGCTATTGCATACTGATTTGAACTTGGGAGATGGCAGGGAACTCACCATGATAAATGACATGCAAAAGGTATGTACTACTGTTTTCTATTTTTTTGGTTGTTTAAATACTACTATTTTTCTATTTTTTTGCTATTTAACTACTACTATTTTTCTGGTTTAAAACACTGTTGTTTTTCTGGTTTAAGTATTACTGTTTTCTGGTTTAAGTATTACTGTTTCTCTGTTTTTATGCAGGGTCTATGTTCAGTTGTTGAAGAGATTTTACCTGAGTGTGAGCACAGAATGTGTGCTAGACACATTCTGGCAAACTGGGTTATAAAATGGAGAGGGATTGAAAGGAGAAAAAGATTCTGGAGTATTGCTAGATCAACATTTGAGTCTGAAATGAAAAAAAACTAGATGATCTTGATAAATTGGGTCATAACATTTGTGAAGACCTAGTTAAATACAACAAAGAAAGATGGTGCAAAGCATTCTTTCAAACATTCTCCAAGTATGACAGTGTTGACAATAACATGTGTGAAAGCTTCAACGCTTGGATATTGGGCCCTAGACACAAGACAATCATATCAATGCTAGAGGAAATAAGGGTCAAAGTAATGAGTAAGGTAGCAAAGATGAGAGAATTTGCTGAAACTTGGCAGGATGGTGTATCTCCAATGGTCATGATGGTGTTCAATACTAATATTGAGAGGTCAATGAGGCTTGACTTCATGTTTAATGGAGATACTGGATTTGAACTCAAAGATTGTCCATGCAAGTTCATTGTAGATTTAAGAACAGGTTACTGCAATTGCAGGTCTTTGGAACTTAAAGGCATTTCATGTCCACATGCTATAACAGCAACGTACTTCAAGAGACTTGATCCTTCAGAGCATATTGTACACTATTACAGGAAAGAGACCTACATGAAGGCATATTCACACTTCATACAACCAGTTCCCAACATGATAATGTGGCCAGAAAGTAGTAACTCCAAGGTATTACCTCCTCCAGTTCAAAATATGCCTGGAAGGCCAATAAAAAATAGAAGAAAGGAAGTTGGAGAAATAAAAAGGCTGGAAAATTATCAAAGAAGGGAATAACTATGACATACTCCATTTGCAAAGCAAGTACTCATAATATGAGGAGTTGTCCAACAAGACTAACAAGTACTCAAGAGGTACCTTATTACCTTCTTCCTTTATTACTATCTTCTTAGTTATCTAAGAGCTAATTCCTCATTTTCTCATATAATAGACTACTAATTGCTCACAACAATCAACAATAAAAACTTCACAAAAGAGAGGCAGAAAGGAATATGACAATGTATCTACAAGTAAGGCATCTCCAAGTACTGGAGGAAAATCTGGGTGGGCAAGAAGCCACTACAAGAGGCCTAGGCTTCAAGTACATGGTGTATTTGTTGCACAATCTGGTTTTACAAATATTAATGTAATTGTATTTTTTTTTGTCCTTACATTTTAGGCACATTTTATTGTCTAACTTACTATATGATGTTATTGTCTAACTTTAAAATGTATCTTTTGGTTTGAATGTTATCAGCATGGTTTGCCTACAACCAGAAAAGTTTATACTGGCCCTTTAATTGATTCTACCCATGTTACTGGTGATATTGGATATAAGCCTTCTAAAGGTTTGAAATGGAAATGGAAGGAAATTGTGACTCAAAGACAACTTCAAGTCCAAGCTGCAATGGCTAGAATCAAGACAAGGTCCCAATCCGGTGGAATACAAACAAGATCTAAGGTTATGGGGAAATCTCCCTCCAAGAAGACCACTTGAATTTCTTTACTGTTTGGATGTAGTATTTGATATACTAGACTTCCTTTTTTGTTGAATTCATGAGGTGGCTGTTTTAGTTGAATTCATGGGGTGTCTGTTTTTTGTGAATACTGATGGTGGTACTAAACATTATTTTGTGAACCTGTTTGTCATGTGTATGTCTTGCTGTATATGGACATCATAGTTTATCTCTATTGTTAGATGTTAAATTCCGACTTTCTTTGTCAAATTACCAACTATGTGGACAAAATGTTGTGATTGTGATTGGTTGTTTTTGTGGATAGTAGTGTCGAACAGCATATCATATTGCTTAACTTCTATTACATACTACCAGATAACCATTATTTGTACATGAACAAAATCAAATTCAAAAGTAAACTGAAAAATAATAGAAACTTTAGCATTTTTTCCTCTTCGATAGTTTGTTAGTCTTCTTCAACAACTCAGAAAAACAATGATTGTTGCTTCGGAAATGGAGGTTCATACCATTAAAGAAATCGACAAGAATTTATCTTCTGATAAAGACTGCATCCAAAGAATCGTCGCCCAGAATTTGTAGTAGTCCACGCAACTTTTAAAGGAGCTGGCTTGTCACATCTACAAAAAACATTAATCTTCTATCTTCCAGCTGTTGAAAAAATGGCTATTATTTGGGCAAAAAATAAGAGCCAAAATCTTAGGGGAAAATGGAATTTGATTGGACAAAGATTTTGAGAAGATTATGGCTGAAGACTTGGAAAGAAACCAATAAATAGGGGTTGTTACCGTTGGGGGAAATTATTACCGTTAGGGATGGTAAATATTCAACTGGTGTGGCAAAAAATATACTCCCCCACACGCACTCATCCATTTGAACAAACTTCCACTGCCATGTGGCATGTTAGGGGGTAATAAAATCCGAAAAAGTAAGCATAGGGGGTAATTAAAATCACGTATAGTTAAGGTGTACACTCATTAAAAAGTGTCAAGTTTAGGGGGGGTCTTTACCTATTCTGCCAATAAAAAATAATGCTCGAAAATGAATCTCCCAGTGAAATTTTATGTTTTCCTGGCGGGTTAGTATTTCGGTTGGGTAAGTTAGAAAATAGTGTATTTTTGGGGACTTTTTAAAACAAATAGGTGGACGGAGGATAATATTTAGCCCTTGGCCAACAGTTTAGGGAAATTTTGGACTTTCTCTATTTATTTAATTGGATTTGATCAGTAATAAAATAACACGTCGAATATAAAAACTTTTTTAATTCAAGTTGATAGTTAATTATATTATAAAAATGAGCTGAATTGATAGCATTAGTAGCATGATTAGACAAGGGTATATTTAGCCTTTAGCCAATAGTTCAGGGGCAGTTTAAACTCTTTTCCGTACAAGATTAAAAAAAACAAATCTGCTAGCAGGAGATCATGCTTGAAATAAGTTTATAAGATTGTCCCTTTAGAGAAGTCTTGAATCACTTGCTTCAATAGCCTTTATGATAGGTATTTGTTTGTAATAACTATAGTTAGGGAACAATCATAGTTAGTAGTCGAGTTAGTAGTTGAGAAGTCGTTAGTGAAGGTTGTTAGAAAGCACGTGTGAGTCATGTGATTTCCAGATGTTAGTTATAACTAACTAACTGCACACCACGTGGATTCATCTATATAGCTTACAAAATCCCTTCTTTGTAATCTGCTATTGTTGTGAAGATCAATAACAATCATTTCTCTGTTCTCTTAATTCAATTGAGCTTCATTAAGCTCTTAGAATCACTGCTCAAGAGTAGTTCATCTCATTACTCTTTAGGTGTTCCTTCTTTTTTCGATTTCCAGAAATTCTGTTGCATATCTTTGGTATCCGAGCTCTGATACCTTGGCTACGACAATGGGCGATCATAATACACGAATGACAGAGTTACGCAAGGATGTTAATAACCTCAAAGGTTATGTGGATCATGTAGTTCATACAGTGGCAGAATTGACTAGTTCAGTGGAAGAAAAATTTGCACAGGCATTAGAAGAAATTAAGAAAATGATGTGTGATGACCAAAAAAGTCATCTTTTATTTTAGAGTCTGTTTTTGTGTTCTGAGGCCTTGAAAATCTCCTTTTATCCCTCCTCAATTTGCGTGCGCAGTCTGGGCGCGATACATGAAATCTTTTGTGTAAAAAATTTGAGAAATATAGAATTTGGCCTTTAAAATTGATTAAAGTTGACTTCGGTCAATATTTTCGGTAAACGGACCCGGACTGGTAATTTGACGGTCCTGTAGGGTCTGTAGTAAAATATGGGACTTGGGCATGTGTCCGGAATCGAATTCCAAGGTACTTGGCCCGAGAAAAAAAATTTTAAAAAAAATATTTGCTAGAAAATATAAAAACTTTTGGAAATGAAATGGTGTGTGACCTTGATGGTATCGGGCTCGTATTTTAGTACCGGATCCCGGTATTGGTTTAAAATAATAATTAAGTCGAATCTGCGAAATTTGTTAAAAATCAAAGTTGATTTGATATAAATCGGACCCTTAGTTGAGAAAATGAAAATTTCAATGTTCTTAAGAACTTCATGAATTTTGGTGTTAAATATGTTGTTTAAGAGGTTATTTTGGCGACTTGATCGCACGAGTAAGTACGTATGATTGTTTAGACTTGGGTGCATGTTTGGTTTGGAACCCCGAGGGCTCGGGTGAGTTACGGATAGGCTTTGGGGTGTACAGACTTAGGAAAAGACATGTGCTGAATGTTACACCTTGTGTATTCGGCGTTATCATGCTGTAAATGGGATAATTCGGTAGGAAGATAATTTCTATGAGATATTTAAATGATGCGATAGTTATACGTTAAGATTGGAAGTCATTTGAGTTGTGATTAAAAATTCGACAAAGATCGCGCGCAAGTTACGGGTTTAAATTTCACTGGAATTTGGATAAAATGTTGATGACCTTTTCTCTCAATATACTAGGAGTTATGGTGTGTTCTACCTACCGAATCGAAGGTCTATGAGTCTAGTTTCTAACGCAACAAACCGTTCNTAGGCCACTTCGACTCTTCTTAGAATACGTCTTTTAAGGTTGGTTTCGCATTGCACCTATATAATTTATGATCTAGTATATGTATGTATTTACTTTCATTACCGAGCTGCATTATAGACGGTCGGGTATGACACATATTGTGTAACCACTGATCATTTGGGATTACCGAGCTTCACGTGGCCGGGTACGATTCTACCGAGCCTTTATTATGGCCGGGTATGTTATGGATATTATAGCCCCACAGAGGGATTTATTATTATATAATGTGATATATTATAAGTAGCGATAGTGAACGACGGTGTCACGAGCATACATTTATATCCATGTTGAATTTTAGTTTCCTACCGAGGCTAGTTTCAGAATTTAAATTATCTCTATGTCTCTTCTCTTGTTAATTACATTTTTCATGTTACACTTGTCGCCCTACATATTCAGTACATATTTCGTACTGACGCATTTTTATGCGCTGTGTTCATGCCCACAGGTTCGAATAGACAGAGTGG